TAACCTTAAAAGCAGCCTGGCAGGAACAGGTTTTGGGAACCCACTGCACCAAATTCACATTGGGACGTTGAAACTGAGCGGGACGTTAGCTGACCCGCAGTGGGCAAACTTAATGGCCAACTTCGCTCTCTCAGCCTTTTCCCATGAAAAACCTGCACCCTAGGTGCTACCGAGTGCTAATTTGTTAAGAAAGCCTTAATTGAGTGACAGTTAATTATTGACAGGTTTGAACTACTTTATCTCTCAATCAAAAGCTGGCTCCGTCCCAAGCAGCGAGCAATTTAACAGCCGCGAAGGTAAATCTAGCCACGTGCAAACTCTTTATGCTGAAGCCTGGTGCCTCTCCCTCCCCCAGCCCAAGTTTGGGCTGCAGTTTCTCTCTGAAGGAGCCGATGAGCCCCCGGTGATCACCAGCCAACGTCAAGGTGGTTACCCTGCTTAACCCCACTTGGCACCGAGTGGGAATTACCAAGGGGACATCCATCTGGAGCTGCCTGAGATAAGAGGTGTCCAGTGTTAATAAACAGGCTTCCTCTACACCTCAGCAGGGCCTTCCTTTTCCAAACAGTCTTCCTTTAATGTTGTAAAATGGTTTTTTCCATTTACTCAACCATCATGCCTTTGCTGGCGGGGGAGGGCCAAGGGAAAGGGAGAGGAGGTTGAGGCTCAGCACATGTTTCTACAGCATTGAGGCACCTGCTTTTGAAATGGGATTTCTGATGCTAAGTTCTTCCAACACGGCTCTTTCTCTTGCCTTCTGCACACAAGCAACGTGTGAAGTGAGAAAAGGATAGAGAAAAGAAGAGTAAAAGGAAGAGAAATAGAGGAAAAGAAAGGAAGAGAAGAAGGAAAATGAAGGGAAAGGAAGGCAAAGCAAGAAAGATAGAAAGCAAGAAAGAGAGGCAGCTAGAGAGCAACAAAGCGAATGAGGGGAAGAAAGTGGGGGGGAGATAATGGGGGAAAAAGAAAGAGGAAAAGAAAGAAGGGAAGAGAGAAAGAGGAACGAAGGGAGGAAGGAGGGAAGGAAGGAAGGAAGGAAGGAAGGAAGGAAGGAAGGAAGGAAGGAAGGAAGGAAGGAAGGAAGGAAGGAAGGAAGGAAGGAAGGAAGGAAGGAAATGAAAGAAAAGGAAGGAAGGAAATGAAAGAAAAGGAAGGAAGGAAATGAAAGAAAAGGAAGGAAGGAAATGAAAGAAAAGGAAGGAAGGAAATGAAAGAAAAGGAAGAAAGGAAATGAAAGAAAAGGAAGAAAGAAATAAAGGAAGGAAGGAAGGAAGGAAGGAAGGAAGGAAGGAAGGAAGGAAGGAAGGAAGGAAGGAAGGAAGGAAGGAAGGAAGGAAGGAAGGAAGGAAGGAAGGAAGGAAGGAAGGAAGGAAGGAAGGAAGGAAGAAAGAAAGAAAGAAAGAAAGAAAGAAAGAAAGAAAGAAAGAAAGAAAGAAAGAAAGAAAGAAAGAAAGAAAGAAAGAAAGAAAGAAAGAAAGAAAGAAAGAAAGAAAGAAAGAAAGAAAGAAAGAAAGAAAGAAAGAAAGAAAGAAAGAAAGAAAGAAAGAAAAATGAAACAGAAAGAAAATGAAACAGAGAGAGAAAAAAGAAGGAAGGAAAAAGAAAGAGATGGGAGGAAAATTAGTGTATTATAGCAGCAGCAGTAGTAGCCACCACAGTATCACAGTCATTCAGTGCAATATGTCTAAACATTCATAAATGTTTTCTGCATCCTAAAATGCCATGTACAAGGGATAGAGCATCCCACTGAGGTTAACGAATGAATGAGGTGCCCTTGAAGGTTAATTTGCACAAACAAAAGGTCAAGGAACACCTTCAAAACAAAATATTGATTAAAGCAAGTTAAATGTTTTGACTCAAAGGAGACACGAAGGATTAAAAAGCAAAATAAAGCAGTATGGATAAGAAAGGAACAGGAAAGAAAAAGCATCACCCCCAGACACAAAGGAAATGGTAGAAAACATATCTGAATCAGCTAGTCATCTGCTAACAAGCTGTAAAGATTTCCAATGACAAGTTGTCACATTAGTTTAGTGAAACTGAAGCAGCACTTATCCCTTTTCCTGTGCTTAATCTCTCAGCAAGCTGCACAGAAACATGCTACCACGTTTAATAGGATTAGTTGAGTTCACTTTCTCCTCTCTGGAGGTTTTGATGGGGTTTGTTGGGGATTTTTGTTTGTTTGATTGGGGTTTTTTTGTTGTTGTTGGGAGCATTATTATTATTATTATTATTATTATTATTATTATTATTTCCTAACAATTCTATTTCCATCAATCAATGGAACCATCAAGGTTTTGAATTACATTGCACTCTGCTGAACCACCTAGGTTGCATTCACTTGCCAGGTTAAAGGCACTGTCTTCCAAAGGCTTCCTTCTTGAAAGGAGGAGCCAAGGCAAAGGGAAGCGAGGAAAGGCTCTAAATTCAGCAGTTACACACATCAGGGACCCCGTTCTCCTCTTTCACACACACACTGACAATGCTTTATTGATATCATAGAGCTATTTTTAATTCACATCAGCGCATAAGCACCGGGCCAAGGCTAAGAGCAGAATCAGGCCTTAGTGGTTGTGGGGTGCTCTTTTGAGGCATGAGAGTAAATACTTGCACCTTCCCCACTCCTAAAATAGAAAAGGAAAGGGGAAAAAAAGAGGGAAAAGGAAAAAGAAAACCTGCTATGTATTCGCAGCCCAGTTCCCTCATTTAGTTGGAACAGACACAGCAAGGAAAATGATCAAAGAAAGGCATTTTCAACAGTATACCCCTGTCACTTCCAATTTTGTTGTCAGACTCCAAAGGGACAGAGGAATCACCCATGGCCATGGGCACACTGAGCAAGTTTGCTTAAGTTTCTTGCATCTGTGTTATTTTTCCCCCTTAAAGAAAGACATGCAAGCACAGAACACTGTCAGCTTGCAGGAAAGCTGTTATCTTCAGAGGCACCCTCAGGTTTCGAATCCAAACTTTGTGAACGGAGTTTACTTTTTGTTGGCATCCAAAATGCCCATAACTCAAAAACTGAACAGTGTGACTGCCCTTAAATCTATTAACAGCCAAGAAAAGGACCTGGTGGCTACCTTATGATCTATTCATTATTTGGAAAAGGACCTGGGACTTCTACAGGAGTTCAAAGACTGGAATCCATGACAGTTCTCTGGTGAGAGCCATGCTCAGGATCAGTCATGGGATGGGGGCAGTGAGGAATACAAACAGGGAGCAGCTGCCCCGCCGCTGCCCAAGCCACCGGAAGCCTGGAGAAGGCACCAGGGATGACTTTGCTCTCCTCATATCCTGAACATGAGCTGGTGGACCCCTTCTGAGGAATTGCATTCTGCAGGAGCAAGGGCTTTTCCTCCCAGCTCTACAATTTGGGTGATAGGTGGGGGATTGCTTTGGCTCCTGAGCTTTGAAACACCAACTTGCATTTCTTAATCTATCCTCCAGGATTAAAAGAGAGCAAAGGTCTGAAGCACTCAGTGCCCCCAATGGTGGGCGGGAGAGGGGGAAGCAAGCATTTCATTCCAGTTGTGCTTACTGGTGTGGCAGGTCTGGTGTGGTGAGACTGGGAAACGCTGCCAGACACAGGGCTGGAGGGCTGCAACCTGCAGGCTGCTACAGCAATGGGGCAGAGGGACTGGGTGACGGGTGCCTGCCACTGCTCTGCCCCGTGACCTTGGGGACATTGGCAGGGCCTCAGTTTCTCTTTGGGGTAAATCAACAGCGGCCGAAGTTAAACTGGTGACAAACTCAGTGTCAAAGGCAGCTATTTACTTGTTTCTTAGTGTTTGGCACGACTCGGCTTTATCTCTACGTGCATCCTGGTGTCCTTTAAGAGAAAACTAGAAACAGAAGGAAAGAATTCAAGCGAGTCATTCACCCGCCAAATTTAGCCTATCTCCCCCTGCGTCCAGACACACTTCTGCACCCTTGTTCCGCAGCCCCTGCGGCACTTACAGCTACAACCGGAGGCCGAACGTGTCACCGGGACCAGCCGAACCCCGCAAGAACAAGCAGGGAGCAAGTCCTCCCCCTCCGCGCAAGCGGAACAGCGCAGCGCGGCCGGGCGCCCCCGGGCCACCCCTGCCTGTCGCTCCCCGACGGCGGCGGGCCCGGTGCCCCTGTTGCTGCAGGTTTTACGTTGAAACAACTCACGGAGGAGCAGTCCCGGCGGGAAGGGGCTCCCGCGGGCCGGGAGGGAGCGACGGGCACCGGGCACCGCTCCGGAGCCGTCCGGCGCTGGGGCTGGGGGACACAAGTGGTGGCAGCGGAGCGCCCCGGGACGCGCCCCGTTGCGTTTGCAATCACGGAGGTGGCCAGCACCGGTCCCGGGACTGGCCGCGGGCCCAGGCACGGCACAGCACGGCTGGCGGGGGTACCCATCGCGGCGAGGAGCGGGGCTGTCCCAACGCCACCAACAGCCACCTCCCGCGTGCGAGCCCCGACGTGCCGGGCCCTACGCTCCCGGCGCGGCAGCGGCCCCGAAGGACTTCGCCTTCCGCACCGGTGCCGGGCTGTAGGACCGTGCTTCCGGATGTATCTCCTCGGGATGCCCCGGCCGGGGCAGCGGCGGGGACATTTAAGTTTGTTTTAGCGCAGTAAAAGCTTCCCAGCTGCAGCTCCGCTTCGGCCGGTCCCGAGCGCTTCCCTAGGCATCGGCGCGGGGTGGTTTGTCACATCGCTCACCCACCCGCGTTACTGACCAAGAAGCGCGGATGTAGGGAGCCACGCGGCCCCCCGCGGGCAGGGCAGGCCTACAGCAGCGGGGCGGGCAGGGGGTGAGGCACGGCCCGGCCCCTCGCCACTGGCACCGAGCGACGGCGCAAGTTTGGGCAGGGGATGCCCGCGCCAGCCCGGCCTGCCCCGGCCCCAGCCCCAGCCCCAGCCCCGTCCGGGCTCTCCCCTCCCCTCGGGGCTCCCTGTCCCGCAGCCCCAGCGCCCCTCACGGCAGCCCCGAGGGGCGGGCGCGGAGGGGCCCTGCGGGCCCGCGCCGTCCTTACCTGCCGCCGAGCGCCCTGCAGCGCTCCGCCGCCTCCCGTCCCTCGGCAGGACGCTATTCCCTCGCATCAATTTATTCCCTTGCAAGCCTTAGCAGTTTTCCCGAGGGAAGCCTCGCCTCCCAGCCGGCGGCTGCCGGGCCGCCCTCCGCTGGAACCGGGGCCGAAGTGCGGCGCTCCCGGCTCCGCACCGCGGAAACCTGCGCTCCCGGCGGGATAAAACGCTCCCGGCGGGCTCTGCTCCGTGTTGCTGCCCGGACCCGCCGGCAAGATGCTCTTTTGTGTTTCTATCCCCAAAGCGTTTTCCCAACGCTTTCCCCGGCTGTGCCGACCTAGGGATGGGGTTTAGTTGCCCGAAATTTGGGGCGTGCTGCACGGGGGGCCGGGGCCGCCGGGGCGGACACAGGGTGTGCGCACCGGCGGCTGTTCCACGCACCGCAACGTGACTCTCGTTTCTGTGTTTATTTTCCGCTCCGCACATGGGGACGCTGCCACCGCTCCGGTCCCCTGGAAGTTTGCGACCCGCCTTGGGGAGCAGCACCCGATGCTTAACGCGCTCAGGACGCGCTCCGCGGGGCAGCAGCTCCCCGCGCTCCTCCTCTGTGAAAGCTTTCCCGCGGGGGGAAACATCCCGCGTGGGGCACGGCGGGGAAGACTTTCCTAAAGTTTCTCTGTCTCCCCCTCCTTTCCCTTACGCGGGGCGGCTTTTGTCCGCCACGGCGGGGGAGGGGGGGGGGGGGATGGCGGGGGCGCCCCGTCGGGCCGCGTCCCTCCATCCGTCCATCCGCAGGTGCGAACCGTCCGCACCTTCCCGCGGGTGCGGGGCGGCGCTTCCCTCACCCCCCCCTACTCCCCTCTTCCCCACGTTATTCCCTGTTCTCTCCCCCCGCTCCTGCCAAGTTCTCCCCGTCCCCCCCGTCCGTCCCAAGGAGCATCCCGATTGGGCGCCGGGCCGGGCTCACGTCACTCCGAGCGTGACGTCTAGTCTTCCTGTTTCCTTCAGCTGTGTCTTAAAGTAAATCTTGTGGCGGTGCGGAGCGATCGCTCGGCTCGGACAGCCCCGGCCCCAGCCCAGCCCAGCCCTGCCCTGCCCCGCGACCCGCTGCCGCCGCCGCCGCTCCGCTGCCCGCTCTCTCCCCTCTTTCCCTCCCAATCCCTCCCCTCTTTCCCTCCTCCCTCTCTCTCTTTCCCAGTTTATCCCGCTCCTCATCCGCGGAGCTTGCGCGTGCGCCCGTCCGCGTGTCCGCGTGTGCGGGGCGCGCGCGGTGGTGTGCATGTGCGTTGTGCGGGTGTCCCCCCTCCCCGCGTTGCACCGGCAAACCCAAAACACAACCGACCAAGCAACCCCACGCAAACCCAGAGGCTGCAGTGTCGTCGCCTTTCGCACGGAGTAAGTACCCGCTGCCGCTCCGCGCCCCCTCCGTCCCTCCCGCTTCTTTCCCCTTTTCTTTTATTCCTTTTTAATCCTTGCACTGCTCTGAACGGCCGTGGGGGGGGTGTTGACGGGGGAGGATGGTCTCCCTAGCAAAATGCCCATCACCGTTACCCAACCTGCGCGTCTTTCTCCAAGGGGACAAAACTGCAGGGACTGTCCCCGCCGAGCAGCGCGGCCCCGGGCGGGGAGAGCGGTTGGGGGGGTCCTGAGCACTGCGCCGCGCGGAGCGCTCCCCGCAGCCGGCCTCGGGCCCCAGAGCAAGTGTTAGGTGACCCCCCCCTTCCCTCGGCGCTGCCACCTTCCGCGGACCGGCCTTTCGGTCCTCCCGCGGGCTGGAGCGCAGGTTTGAGGGGACGGGAACCGCAGCGAGGATTTGCCTTCTTTTTGTTGTTCCGAGCTCTTTCCTCACCCCGTCCTCACCGAAGTTCCCCGTCCCCTGCGCTGAACTCCCGCTCCGCTCCCCCGAGCCGCCTCTTTGTCTGGTTTATTATAGCCGCCTGGCTTTTTGTCTCTTCCAATTTGCTTGCCATTTGCATGTCGCTAGTTCTCCTGCTCTAACCCCGGCAGGGAGTTTTTATCCTCACTCTCCTTATCCTTGCAATTACTTTTTTCTTTTTTTTTTCTTTTTTTTTTTTTTTTTTTCCATTTCCAAGGGTGGGACGAGCTGCGAATTGTGGAAATGTATGGAAAATGGGATCAGAGGGGTAGGTAGCGAGCGCAGGAGATCAAATGCAAGTCGCGGGATGAGAGCCTTGATCTGGGAAAAGATGAGGATTACTGCTACTTTCTCCTTGTTTGCCTGTTGTTTATTATCGGGGGGGGGGGGGGGGAGCATCTAATTTTTCCGTGCCCTTTGATGCAGATATTCCTGGCTTTTCTTGGTATTCTCTTTATCGGCCGAGTGACCCGGCGCACTTTGCCATGTGTTTAAACGGAGTTAAAGCGCGGGAGGGGTCGCGGGGCCTGAGCGGAGGGGGCGCGGGTGCGCAGGGTTGGGATACAAGGGCCGGGACGGGGTTGAAGGGGGGGGGGTCACCGAAAATGCGGGGCCCGACGGGAGCGGGCGGAGAAACTTGCGCGTATGCGCCGCGGTCGCGCCGGGCCGGGCAGGTGCGCGGGGCGGGCGCGGAGCGAGTTGGCTGGCGGTGCCCGGGGGATCGGGGCCGGCCGCGGGGAGCGCGTCGCTGGGTCGGTGTGTGCGGCGCGTCCGGAGCTCCGGAGGGGTCAGCGACACGGACGCGTGTCCGCCTGCGGGAGGAACCCCCGCGGAGGGCATCAGCTTGGCGTCGGCGACCGGGTAGGAGATGCCGGTCACGGCTGGCGGGGGAAACGGCCGCAGCGTAGAGGTGCCCTTGGATGTCGGGCAAAAGTTGCCAGGGCGAGAGTTTGGAATCCCGCCGCTTTCCCACAGGTCCCGAACGCCGCGGCGGTCCTGGCTGCGCTGCGAGTGTCCCCTCAAAACCCTCCTGAGACGTGGAGGGCACCTGGAAGCGCATACGCGCATCCCTGGCCGTAGTTGGGTGGTGGAAAGGGCCGGTGTTGTCTAGCGCAGGGTACGGAAGCACGGCTGTGGCACCGCGAGGTGTGTAAACTCAGGTTATTTGTCACTTCCATCATCTGCAGAGGTTTGGCAGCGCGCAGGGTGAATCGTAGGGAAGCAGTTTCCTTACCCGTAGATTTTCACGGGGCTCATTCCCATGACATCTTCTCGCAGCCTTTTAGTGAGTTGCCATCAATCACAAAAAGTTCACAACCACTGTAGCTCTTTTTGCATTTATTTTAGTTGCTTTTTGTCCAGAGCTTACCTTTAGCAGCGGTGTCACATACTGTGGAATGTTTATGTCAAGGGTAGACAGGGTATCATGAGTTGAACTGCGATAAAAAGTACAGCGTTCCTACTTTTCCCTATGAAATTATTCTGTGAGGTGGCTGACATTCACTGAGTGGCACTGTCAGTATATACAGTTCACTTCCCTGCCAGCTGAACTCTGAGGCCTCTCAGTTTGTGGGACTGGTTTATATGGCTTCTCCTTTTTATTATCAGTTGATAAATTAAGATATTCATAAGACTGGACACATTTTGAAATTGGAGTTTAATTTGATTCAGAGCAGAATTGTAAATACCGCACTTTGTAGTCTCTAAGCAATGATTTATTCTGCCTCGAAGTGCAGCCTAACTGCTAAGGTAACTAATCCAAGAACTGGGATTTTAACGACATCATGCAGCATAGAAAGAAAATGTCTTGGAAAACTTGGGCTGACTTTTTAGTGGGAATCTTGCGAACATTTCAGTCTGGTCTCTGCACAGAGACCGTGTGAGTTATTTTCTTCATGATCAGTGAAATAACAAGGACCAAACTGGCCTACGAGGAGGAAAATGTTTTCAGTTTTCTACCTGGAGCAGCTTGCTTTCTTTTTCCCATTCAAAGAATCTGTGTCCTCGAGCAGTGCTGAGCACGGCTGCGTGGTGGAGGGCCCTGCATCTCCCCAAAATAAAGGCCTGAACTAATGAGATGCCGAATGCCTCCTGTTAGCGAGCTCTGTCAAATCCCCCTGCAGCCGATGGGAATCGTGGATGTTTGGCATGCTGAACACCTTGCTGGATTGGGTACCACCAGGTTCCTAAAACAAGGGTCACTTTTTTTCTTGAAGGCTCTTTAAACAGGTGGCATAATTTCGAAGTAAATCAGGCTCTAATTTTCACTTCTTCTTATGGAAAAATCCTAATGAAGTAGCTGCTGCTGCACAAACAGTTGCTCATCATTTCTGCCTTGTTTCAATTTCTTTGATTAGACATCTCAGCTACAGGGGCCAGATAACCCTTTCTCGCAGGAAAACTTGTGTCAGAGCTGCATAGGAAGGTAGTGCTTTCTCATTAGTGGCTGACGTGATTTTAGCACCGAACAGATCTATGGTGAATAGTTGTCATCTGTTCTTCAAATCTGAGCTGTGGTTTTGTGCATGGAATGTTGTTGACCGGAATAATTTTTACCCTGTGCTTCCTGGTTGATTCTGGCATAGCCATACCCCATGTAGCGTTTGAGAGTGAAAGATCTAAATATTTCTATTAGCAGAAGGGTGTTATATTTCTTGTATGGTATTGGCATAGTAGGCTGACATGAAACAGGCAGATGCTGGACCAAAGAAAGTACTCGGCTTGAGAAAAGATAGGACCAATTTCAGATCTATAAAATGACACCTCCTTGAATTCATCTGTGAATATTTGTCAAGTTTAGCACTTTGCTGCTGTGTGTTTAATGGCTGTGTAAGTTAGGCTGGGGTCCTTCAGGATGGCTGAAGAAGGTGGGCTTGAATTTACATCTCCTTTGCATCTCCCAAGTGTATGAATTAATCCAGGAGAAAATTGTTAGCGTCTTTGTAGATTGAGATGAGTTAACAAAATTGATCACAGAAATGGATTGATTTATAATGAGTGTGGTGAAATACCTGACATATTGCTTTCTACAGAGCATTCTAGCTGAAGGTTTGGTAACAGTGACTCTTGGATACCTAGAAATTAATCTGTTTCCACTTAAAATGTCAGTGCCTATCAAATGGATATGAAATAACGGCATGTCTGTAGCTGCTGTGCTGTTACGAGGTTATTCATAGTTACGTTGTAATCGTATCTCCTTAAACAAAAGGGTTGAAAGTAAATTTGTAAATAAATACTACTGCTATGTTTATGGATGGACTTAGAGAGTGCCGAGGCCCTGGATATGATTTTTAACTATGTGGGCATGGAAGATGTTTGGTTTCTGAGAAAGCCGCATCGTGCGAGTTGAGGCTCGAGGTGTGGACAGTGAGTTTAGCACTTGGCATGCGAGGAGTATCAAAGTGAGGTGTAAAGCAAATTTAACCTTCACAGATTTAAAACTCTGGAACTTTGAGAGAAACGGTGCTTCTGAAGATTTCTACATAGATCTTGACAGCCTAAGCTATGTATTTCTGGGTAGTTGTATAGAGATATCAGATGTATGAAATACAGTTTTGAGACAATGTGCAGCCAAAGTACTGGTATTACGTAAAGGATACAGACTTCCTAATTATTTATTTTTATACCCCCCAGGAGTTGCTTATTTAATCAGCTCTAATCTAATCAGTCTCGAAGTCTGCCTGTCATGGCTGGGATTCTGCATCCTGCTGACGTGCCATCCCACTTTCCTTGAGGTGTGAATTGGTTTTGGTCCTCTGAGACTGAAGTATTAACTGGCCATTCAATATCCATTCTGTTTTGTCAAGCTAAAGTAGAACTATTTCTCTTACTTCAGCCTTAAAGCTGGCAGTCTGTAGGCTCAGGATAACACCAGGGCAAATGGAAGATATTGCTTAATACCCAGGTTAAGTGTACGATAACTCCGATGCCTTCAGCTTCCAGCGAGGGTAGGAGGGTGCATCCGTCTTCTGGAGCACCTCATGCGGTGGCAGGAGTTGGCTGGAAGGCAGCTGCTGGTAGAGGGGCTCAGGGAGAGGAAAATGGACACTGGGGAGGAAGGATGCGTGGCAATGACCTTCCAACCTGGCGCAGGACAGCCTACTTCCTGAGCTTCTGACTCAAGGGTACAGCAAACCCTCCCCATGCGTGTCCTTGGTTGGGATTGGGCAAGAGAAAGGCAAACAGTGGTCAGGCACCTCACATTTGCTGGGAAATGTGCAAAACCCAAAACCTGACATGAGGCTTTCGGTGTGGGTCTGGGAACTTATTGGTGGATCTCAATCAAGCATAGCTTAACTACAGGAAAGGAAGGAAAAGTGTGAAGGTTTTTTGGTAGGGTTGGCGTGTTGGGTTTTTTTCCTGTATTGTTTTTCCTTTCCTTATTGGCAAGTCTTATCTTTCTGGAGAACACTTTTAGAATATCTTCCACGCAATAAGCAAGAGTGCTTTTGGTTATCTTGCAATTAGTTTATATCACTTTCAAATGCACACCACTAGACTGAGAGGTCAACCTTGACCCTGGTTTATTCTATGCCAGTCTGACCTGCTGAAAAACGCCTGTGGTAGTCGCCCCTTTCCACCCCCTGAGGACTTGGCCCTTTATCTGCAAAACCAACCCCTCTGAAATCCCAGCTCCTCAGGTTTTTTGTTTAGGTGAAGACCTACTTGTAAAAGCTTGATTCTGCCCCCTGAAAAACTCCATTTGCATTAACTGAGAGAAAGCAGGAAACGGTCTTTTGCAAGACATACTTCCAAGCAGGGCCTGATCCTACCACACCTAACATGATTTTGGTACCCTGCACCGCAGGGGAGTTGCTCGCGGGGTGGGATGCTGCCTGCTGTGCAGGTGGTAGGATTGGGCCCCTGCGACAGAACTCCTTGCTATTTTTGATTTTGATATTTACCTGATTGTGAGGTAGCCAAACTTCACTTGCTTAACGTGCTTCTTGCCAAGGAGCGATCTCTGAAGACAGTGACCTGATAACAGTGTGAGGCTCTGGATTTACCGTCTGAATTCACAACGCTTTTTTGATGGTGTTTTTGTGGGTTTTATCACTCTTTGCTTTCCTGTATGCAAGGAGCCAGTAATGTAAACAAACATCAGGTCCCTTGCATAACTGTCTCTGACACCAAATTCTTGTAGTACATCCACAGTACGTGGGCAAAGGCTGCAGAATAAACATAATGCTTCTAAGTATTAAAAGCTTCAGGTTTTTTTTTTCATCCTGGTTGCAAACTAAGCACTGACTCCTGTCTTGATTTTACAGATTATTTCATGCTGAAATTATGTCTATTTGCATGGATAGTCATTCTTTAAAACTAGCCACAGATGCAGTCCTAGGGAGCACGTAGATGTTTTTACAGGTGAACCGAAAGAGATGGGAGCAATTCCAAAAAGTCTGCATGCTGCCTTTGGCAATATACCCTGTTATTGTGAAGATTGTGCTCTGTTAAGCAAATGTAAAGTTTAATATTAGATAAGCGTTGCATGAAAAAGACTTTAATTCTCCTCAGTGTTAAATGTTAAGAAAGAGGAAAGTGTGTCTAGTGCTTTATGTGCGGTGCGAGTTTAGCATCACTAGTTAATGAGTCACAAATTATGTCAAGAGCCTTTTACAAAATGCAAGGAAGTGTGTTATCTTTTTATGCTGTGTTCCTGGGAAACAATGCGAATTCATATAAGGGGAAGGTGTCTTGCTTTCTCACACAGCTGATGGATGTTGTTTCTTTCATCTTCCCATATTTTTTCTCATCTTTTCTGCATGTCACAGGAAATAAGATCCTGTGTATTCAAAAATATTACATGTAAGAAGGGCTCTACTGGGCATTTGATAAACGGTTCTTGTTTTTTTTTCTCCAAGCAGAGAGATGTGGCACCGAACATGCCTCGTTTCTGCTGTGCAAAAAATATAACATCATGTATTTTAGTGTAGGAAATACAAGAATCTTCAGCCTTTGGTAGCCGGGCTTGCTTGGAGAATGGAAGTTAAGACAAGGGAAGGAATGTATGGGGAATTCAAACCACTGTCATGGCTAGTCAGTGGTACAGACAAGGCTCTGTTAACAAACTGCATTTTGGCATTTATTTGATCACATCTCTGTAAATATTATAATCCCAACCATTAAATATTTTAATGCATTTTTGCAGTGCTGAATGAATGTTTCCCTAATGATTTAATAGAGGCCCTTTTTTCCCCCCAATGTAAACCTAAATGTGTCAGTGCATTTCACATACACCTATACTATCCTACCTACAATTATGTGCAAGTTGATATTTTGACCTTTGGATGCTTATTTAACGGTTTTATCTCTCTTTAAAAAGCAAAACTACAATTATGGTTTTTACATCGCAATTGATTTTTTTTTTTTAATCCAAATTTTATACAATTTCTTGTTTTAACAATAAATCTTAACCAAGGAGTACTTTCATCTTCTTTTGTAACATGTATCTCAATGCCCTAAATTTAATCAATTGGTTGTCAGAGGCTGTGTTCTTCTAATCTACTCTTTCTTCTGAAGATAAACAGTATCATTTTAGGCATTTGTGCAAGAGAATCATATTACTGGTGCTTAAGCAGTTTTTGCTTTTTTAAATCTTAATCCATCTTAAACCAGTAGAGCAGAAATATTTAAAAATGTTTCATTTCAAGCAGAGTGCATAATAAATTGCAATAATTGTAATGTGCCATAAATCCCAGAGCCTATGCATTTTGCATTTTATTCAGGATTGAGGTCAGGAAATTTGGAGAAATTTAAAGAAAATGATTCATCAGTCCTTTTGTTCTGTTGGCCAGGGTCCCAGGATTCTTGAGCTGAGCCCAGCTGACAAGCTTTTGAAGATGGCACAATAACAGTCCAGTGATGCCTGACCATGACAGCACAGCCCTCTTAAGCAGGCAAACCAAGAGAAGAAGAGTTGACATTGGAGTGAAAAGGACGGTAGGGACAGCATCTGCATTTTTTGCAAAGGCAAGAGCAACGTTTTTTAGTGCCATGAATCCCCAAGGTTCAGAGCAGGATGTCGAGTATTCAGTGGTGCAGCATGCAGATGGGGAAAAGTCAAATGTACTCCGCAAGCTGCTGAAGAGGGCGAACTCGTATGAAGATGCCATGATGCCTTTTCCAGGAGCAACCATAATTTCCCAGCTGTTGAAAAATAACATGAACAAAAATGGTGGCACGGAGCCCAGTTTCCAAGCCAGCGGTCTCTCTAGTACAGGCTCAGAAGTACATCAGGAGGATGTATGCAGCAACTCTTCAAGAGACAGCCCCCAAGAGTGTCTTTCCCCTTTTGGCAGGCCGACTATGAGCCAGTTTGATGTGGATCGGTTATGCGATGAGCACCTGAGAGCTAAACGCGCCCGGGTTGAGAATATAATTCGGGGTATGAGCCATTCCCCCAGCGTGGCATTAAGGGGCAATGAAAACGAAAGAGAAATAGCTCCGCAGTCCGTGAGCCCCCGAGAAAGTTACAGAGAAAACAAGCGCAAGCAGAAGCTGCCGCAGCAGCAGCAGCAGAGCTTCCAGCAGCTGGTTTCGGCGAGGAAAGAGCAGAAGCGAGAGGAGCGCAGACAGCTGAAGCAGCAGCTGGAGGACATGCAGAAGCAGCTGCGCCAGCTGCAGGAGAAGTTCTACCAGATCTACGACAGCACTGACTCTGAAAATGATGAAGATGGCAACCTGTCTGAAGACAGCATGCGCTCCGAAACCATGGACGCGAGGGCGGGCGACTCCGTCGGCAGGTCAGACAATGAGTTGTGTGAGCTGGACCCGGGGCAGTTCATCGACCGGGCGCGGGCCCTCATCCGCGAGCAGGAGGTAGCGGAGAACAAGCCAAAAAGAGAAGGTCCCAAGGAGAAGGAGCAAGGGCCGAACGCCTTCCACCCTGAAGGCAAACATTTGGCCGAGACACTGAAGCAGGAGTTGAACACCGCCATGTCGCAAGTTGTGGACACGGTGGTCAAAGTTTTCTCCTCCAAGCCCTCCCGCCAGCTTCCTCAGGTCTTCCCGCCCCTCCAGATCCCACAGGCCAGGTTCGCTGTTAATGGGGAGAACCACAACTTCCACACGGCCAACCAGCGCCTGCAGTGCTTTGGGGACGTCATCATTCCCAACCCCCTCGACACCTTCGGCAGCGTCCCCATGCCCGGCGCCACCGACCAAACCGAGGCGCTGCCCCTTGTCGTCCGCAAAAACTCCTCTGACCAAGCGGCCTCGGCCCCGCCGGCGGGCGGCCATCACGCCTCGCTGCATCAGTCCCCGCTCTCGGCCACCGCTGGCTTCTCCACCTCCTCCTTCCGACACCCCTTCCCGCTGCCCCTCATGGCCTACCCCTTCCAGAGCCCCCTGGGCGCGCCGTCGGCCTCCTTCCCAGGGAAAGACCGCTCCTCCCCTGAATCCCTTGACCTGACGCGTGAGACCACCAGCCTGAGGACCAAGATGTCGTCGCACCACATGAACCACCACCCTTGCTCGCCGGCACACCCCCCCAGCGCCGCCGAGGGTCTCTCCTTGTCCCTCATCAAGTCAGAGTGCGGCGACCTGCAAGACATGTCTGAAATCTCACCCTACTCGGGAAGTGCAATATCCTTTTTGAAAGGCGAGGCCATATCCTGGCAGTGGCTTGGTGGGAAAGGATGAGGGGCCATGCTCGGGCCCACCTAGGGGCTGGGTGAGGCCAAAGAAAATGCTGCAGGCCCAGGTAGAGGTAACAGGAAGGGCTTCTATAGGTGTGTCGCCAACAAAAGACAGGCTAGGGATAATGTGAGTCCTCTCCAAAAGGAAACAGGAGAACTGGCTACCCTGGATTCGGAGGAGGTTCAGGTTGTCTGTTCAGCCTGGAGAAGAGAAGCTGCGTGGAGACCTCAGAGCAGCTCCCAGTGTCTGAAGGGGGCTACAAGGATGCTGGAGAGGGACTCTTCATCAGGGACTGCAGCGATAGGACAAGGGGTGATGGGTTCAAACTGAAACAGGGCAAGTTCAGGTTAGATCTAAGGCAGAAGCTCTTCCCTGTGAGGGTGCTGAGGCGCTGGCACAGGGTGCCCAGAGAAGCTGTGGCTGCCCCATCCCTGGCAGTGTTCAAGGCCAGGCTGGACAGAGCCTTGGATGAAGTGTCCCTGCCCATGGCAAGGCGTTGGAACTGGATGATCTTAAGGTCCTTTCCAGCCAAAACCATTCTATGATTCTATGCGTTGTCTGATGGTGCTCCTTCAGCAGTGGTGTTCACATAAGAACATAAGTCCCTCTCCCGGATTTTTCAACTGCCCTTGGTCAGGAAACGGCCAAGCCAGTGGGTTTCCCTGGGCTGGGGAGGTGACCGAGGGGGCATTGACCAGAAACCATTCAAGCCATGGCCACCTTCTTTCCTTCCCCTGCCAGGCCAATGTGTGACCCATATTAATGGTGTTATTGCTGGGGCTCGCAGAGAGCCATGGTTCAGTTGTTGGTGAGCCTTCAGCTCCCAAGTGTGTAAGGGAAATGAAGCATAAAAGACACAGGTACTGGTATATTCAGCCTGCATCAAGTTCTTTCCCCCACCCAGAGGTCTGTTCCTCAGCCCTTGTGCAGCTGCCTGCTATGCATGATTAACCTCTGCTCAGCCATACACTGAAATCTTTTGTCCTAACGTACACAAAGCAAATTATTTTGGAAAGCTAGAGAGAACAATTAAATATAAAACTTCAGCTGTATTAAAGTTACAGGACACTTCCCCTGCTTGAAAAAGAAAAACCAGATGAGAACAAAATCTCACTTTTTAGCTCAATAGCAGGCTTTAGTTAGGAGGAAAGAAAATCCATCTCTGCCTTTATTTAGGCACATCCAGACATAGGAATGATCTTTTTTTTGTTGTTTGTTTTTTTTTTTGTCCCCTGGAAAATAGTACTAGTTTGGGTTGTTTTTTTTTTTTCTTTTTTAGCAATATCACCTCCCACTCCTTCCATCTTTCCCCCTAATGGGCTTTTTGGTCAAAAGATCTTTTTTTTTCCAAGCACAGTCATATTAAAAGTGAATTAAAACCCCATGTCTGCCTGTTGGTAAAAGTGAGGATTTGCATGAAGGGTAGATGGATATTTTTTCCCAACTCCGGGACCCCAGCAGAAGGCAACAGCACAAGCACAGAGCCTTAGATGTAGCTGATTTCGTTCCCAAGTTGATGAAAGTAATTGCGGCTGAATAACTCTGCTCGTCCCTGAGTAATGGTAGTGATGGTGAGGACCTTGTCTCCTTTCCAGGGGCATCCTGTGAATACAGATGCCTGAGGCCATGCCGCATCACTGGGTATCTTCTAGGTGATGAATAACTTTGGTGGCTGTAGATTAATTTAAGCACATTTTCTGTAGACTTGCTAAATCCTCAGGTGCTGGCAGGGCTCGAGTCCTGCTGGGTACCTGTACATCCCTGCCCTTCCGTGGCAGTGGGAACCACTGCGATGAAGGAAGGTGCTGCAGGTCCAGAGCTCACCACCACCAGTCTTTGATCTAGCTTAGGTCAAGTCTGAGTCAGGAACTGCTGTTATCTGACCTTTATGAATAGACCCATTTCTACAGGGGGAAGTATTCCTAGTTTGAAAGCACCTTCCTTAGCTATTGGTGTTTTTGAGAGGCAGTTGATAGTGGACACGATGCTTGAGGGATCTCTCTTCCGAAAGAGGATCTCTGCTGTGTTGGCAGCAGGGACATCTCCTTGCCATATATGTTGCATGGCAAAACAGTTGGTGTAAATCCAGCATCAATACCAGTTACTGCCAGTTAGTTTTGGAATTCCAAGTTGAAAATCTCTCCTGCATATTGACACGCAAGCAGCGATGCTCAGAAAGCAGAGCTGAGGTCAGGAGTGGGAGCCAAGGGCAGGACTCAGGCCAGGGCAGTTAAGTAACTTGTACCAAGCAATACAGTGGCTTACTAATTGTTTGTGTGTAAAAGTAGTTCTTCCATCCTGGGAGAGGAGTGGGCAGAGGTGGAAAACGCCAAGTGTAGGAACTGGGAGTCCTAGGGCTCCACTTGGTCTTCTCCACCTGTGGAGCATCTCTCCCTTGCTCCTGCCATTTCTCCCCTTGTCTCCTGCTTGTTCTCACTGGTGGTCACTAATGGAGCTTGTTGTTTCTCCTGAAACAAGGGTGTGAGAGTCCCCTGCTGCTCCAAGGCTCAGATGGGAAACTTGGGGTGCTAGAGTGCTAGATTCCCTTCCTCCCTGCTCGCCCTGTTTCTTCCTCTGCCATTGGGAAGGCGCTCTGACCTTCCCACCTAGACACTGTTGCAGGCTGCAGTTTGATCTGGGTTTAGATACAAGACCTGTTGGGACAAACAGATCTATTAAATAGAGCTTCTACACAATGTATACAGCTCAGCTGTGGGAACGGATGTTTTTCCCTAGCAGCAGCTTGTTTGTCCAGGTAGTTTGCAGTTTCCAGGGAAAGGCACAATATGGAGCTTGGTGTGTTTGTGGTCGATTCTGTTGAGATGCTTTTATTTTATGTGCTTGAATGTGTGCATATAGGGAATATATTTCTTGAGAGAAGCAGATCTTTCTTCCCTGCAGAAAGCAACATCTGTTTTCCTGGACAGTATGGCCAGGATGAGAACATAAGACTAGCACATACAGCCAAGTTCAGATTTTAGTAGTAAGCTAAAGCCCTGAACTAGCCTGCGTTTTGGGGGGTTCTTTTTGTTTTGTTCTGTTTTTAACCAAGGCCTGTAAAATGTATCAGATGGTTCTTTGCTGAATTGCAGAAGGAAATGGTTAATGTTTGCATATGTTGCTGAGCAAGATAAGATGCACCTGCAGCAGAAATTCCCATCTTGGTCATGAATGCAAGCTGTATCTTTGCAAACTAATCTGTTTAATCAAATATTAAGTTTTATTCAAATCGCAAAAGAAACAGGCAGCGAATTGTTTTGCTGCGTGCTCTTCCTTTGTCATGCATCCTCTTTGCATCCCAAGAAAAATAGCCTTGTTCAGTCCCCGAACATTTGCATGGATCAAAAGTGAGTCACAACAGTAGTTTGTGCGCTGCTGAGACATCTGTAAAGGTGAAGAAGCTTCGTGTGCTCTCCCTGGCAGGAGGGCCTCAAAACACGAGTGAAACTTCCTGCAGGTTTATTTCTTTATCACAAGAATTCCAATCCAACTGGAACAAGTTTCACAGCCCCCATATGTGGAAGCTGTAAGTAGGGAATTACAGCATTTTGAAATGAGGAGTTACTGTGTCTAACTAGAAAATTCAACTCATTAAACTTTAAAAAATGAGTGATTGTACAGCACAGGTGACTCTGTGCTGTTAATAAAACCTGGGCAATGAACAAATACTTTCCAGCCAGCCCATTCTTTAGAGGGCCTTGAAGATGCTGCTCTGAGTTACAGCTATTTGGAGCTTTGCTGATGAAAAGCACTTGGGGTGTAACTTGAGGAGCAGCTTGACTTTGCCAGTGCAGATTTTTTACCTGATACAGCTCCTTCTTGCCTCTTTTCCTTCAGCTCAATACATGTGTAGGCTAGAAAAGCCTGTTAGAGCATTTGTGGGAGCGCAGGCTGAGAGGACCAGGAGTGAAAGATGTTTTTGCAGAAGAGGAGCGTTACCTGGGAGGATTGAAGTGCAAATGAGTCCAGTGCTGCACAATGCCACCTGTGTGCCTCTCCAGTTAAAACACACAAGTGCGTGTTGTATGTTCCATTCCCAGTCTTGCACTTCCTGTTTCCGAGCACTGTGCCTTTTCGCTGCTGGTGCTGCTGGTGAGGTGAGGCTGCGCTGTGTGTGTAAACGCACAGTGCTGAGGCTCTCAGGTTGTTTGAACACCGCTTTAGGTTCAGCTGCAGTACACAGTTCCCCTGATCTTTTATGTTCCTGAGCAGATGTCTTTCATTAATTTATGGATTTATCATCTTTCTTTCTCTCTTTTTTTTCCCCCTTTCCTTTTTTTTTTTTGTGTGTGTTTTTTTTTTTACACCTGGCAGCTGGCTCAAGTTTCAGCAGTTATTGTCTATTTTGTATTACCCATAGAATTGAATGTCATCTGTCTTTACAAAGCTATAGCTAAGAGAATTGAGGCAAGCCACACGAGCTGCTGGGACAGAGCTTGTTTGCGTTCCATTCGGCACCCCTCCTCCTCCTCCTCCCTTTACCTCCTTAATATTTATTTGTGCTCGTTTTCTTTCCTGGCCTTGAATGGGGCTTAGCTCGTGTTCGGTACAGCTGTATGTTTACTGAATCTATTTCATCATGAGTCATTGTGCGTGTGTAAGTATCCTGGAAACAGCTAGTGCTTTCTTGGAAGAACAGTTGCTTTTCAGCCCAAGCACTTAAAAAGGAAATTAAGCAATTGGTCAGTTCAGGTTTTATTTTCTGAAATAGCAACGGGTTATCTAATTCTTAGCTCTTAAGTCTGTCATTAACTATTTTGGGCTAGATTATTACAGATCCTATCTTTTATCACACTAAAGCGTTAACCTGAGGATCAGGATATACAGATTTGTGGCATATTTGAGACCGCTTTAAGGCTGCCCGGTTCTTAAGAACGAGTATAAATTTAATAATAAAAAAAAAAGGATTTCTGGGAATTTGATTCTCAGAGCATCTTTTAATACATGTTTCGTTCAATGTCAATATCCTCTGGCATTAGAGCAAAAAATACTTACAAATTCTAAATGCAGAAGGAATCCAAATGCTTAGAAGACTGTCTAATATGCTTAAATCCAGCAAATAGGAGGGCTTTGGGGCTTTGGGGGGAAGTTTAAGTCCATCTTTGAGCTCCCATTGAAAGAGAGTATACGCCAAACCCGGCAGTAACATGTTGTCAGCGTCAGAGGAATTGCAAATTAAGGAGATTTAGGATTATTTTTTCCCCCTTTCTTTTTCTTTTAGTTATTGGAGTTCCCCTTTGGACCCCCACTTTCCTGAAAGAACCACCTAACAGAATGGATTTCTGGCGTAGAAGTTTTGATTTGTCTAAAACTCTTATCACTAAGCAATAGGTGACAGCTTGCTACTATTATTTCACTTACGTATTTTGACAGATGGCACTGCAGAGTGTAATGCTCTTTTAGACTTCTCTATCAGTCTAATGGAGGTAACTGGAGGTTCTTTCAACTCTTCTCTTGGCACAAGAAGTATGTCAGTCATAAATTATCTTCTTTGTAATCATTAAGCATCTAAAACAAAATGCAAGTTCAGCTGAGCCGTTTTCCGTGTTCTTCCAGATACTAAGAGTTCTTTTGAAATAATATTGTCAATGTTTTTTTTTGTTTGGTTCGTTTTGAAACACTGCGTTTTTCCAACCAAAGAAGCACCTTGTAACTGAAATAAAAGGAGAAGGTTTCAATAGATTTCAGGAATGAGAGGAAAAAGGATTCTGCTGAAAAAGCCTCGCTAATCAGCAGCCTGCTGATAAAGATGAGTCTGGGTTTCCCGTCCCGAGGCCTGGAATGAGATGTTCTGTGCTGTAAGGTGGAGAGGCACCTTGGCCGCAGAGCATCTGTCAACTTGGTTGACCTTCCCCCGCCATAAGGTGTGAACCAAGGGAAATTTTCAGCCATTGTGTTTAGGAGAAACAGTCCTTAGAGAAGCTTCTGGGAAGAACCCTTAATTGACCTTGTGGGGGCCACATTGATTTTTTCCACGTGCATCTTCATTTCTGATAAATTATAAAGCCATTAATTTGCTGAGGAAATGGCAGGGCCAGCCTGCGGCACAGATGTGACCAGAGCCATTCCTAGCACGCAGTTCACAAAAGAGAGCCAAGAAGCTGGGAGAAAAATCAGCAAGCCGAGATTGTTATGGTTAGCTTCACATTCCCTTGGGAACTCTTGGAGTTGCTTCTGTTTACAGATCTAAAAGGTAATGATGTTTCCAGGATAAATAGGCTGCCTTATAGGGTAAGTGGCCATTTATTGATCTGCTAGCCCGCATTTATCGACTGGTTAGCCCCAAATACAGCTTCCTTCTCGGAGGAGTTAACTGTGTAAATCAGGAGGCGACAAGTTCGTGGTTGGGGGGCCTGAACAGCAGAGGGGCTCTGCCTCTTGCAGATCTTGCTTTGATTTGCAAGGCAGCCACTGAAGCAAAGCAGCAGCTTTGGAGAGAGTTACTCAAGATGTTAGAATTTATTGACACGTGTGAATCAGGTGAGATGTACCCTGTGAAAAACAGTGCTCAGCATGAGAAAAGCACCTCTGATTGCCTTCCATGCGTTAGCTTGGGTTTGTGTAAGCGGCACGACACTGAGAGTAAAAGAAACTAGCTGGAATTGCAAAGGGAGAGGGAGGAAAAGCTGCCCATAAGTTTTCTGCGGCACATGCTTCGTGCATTTGTTTCCTTAGCAACAAGTGAACATACATATGGTACACAAGCCGTAAACTTGCAAGGTTCCCAAGACCCAGCACCAGAACTGATAAGAAACACAGGGCTTGAGTTCGCTGCCTCACATCCCTCGTTTAGCTGTTTTACAGGAAAGGACAGGGCAGCAATTTAAATGTTAACATTTTCTCCTTTAGGCTGGGGAGCTGTGGAGTGTTGACGGGGGCCCTTTGCTGGCTGTGTGCATTCAGAAACAGCTTTCTCAAGAAAAGCATTTTCCTTTACTAATTCAATCCTACATGCAGGAAGGCTTGTCACCGAATCACTTGAAAAAGGCCAAGCTCATGTTCTTTTACACCCGGTACCCAAGTTCCAATATGCTGAAAACCTACTTCTCAGATGTAAAGGTAAGAAAATCTATCTCCTCTCCCCCCAGCTCCCACTTCCCCTCCTTACTGCATGTTATATTTGCTCATGAAGTGGTATCATGTTATTATAATAGAGATTAAGAATATTTCCGGGTACTCAAAGGTTACAGCTGACTTTATTCACTCGTTCTTCTTGTTGAGGTGTACCCTGTTTGTGCCTAGATAAGGAAAGGGGATGTTTTTAAATTAAACCTAGAAAAAGAGTTTAAATTTTAGAGCAAAAGAAGAATAATTCTTACAGTAAATTAAGCAGTTTTCATTATACATATCCTACTAAAAAAGGAGATTTTTTGTGGTGGTAGAAATGTACTTCCAAGAACATTTTGGAGCAGTTCTCAAGTGTTCCCTTATTGTTTCATTTCGGTTGGTTTCCTCATATTTGTGCTTACATAAGCAGAGTGTAAAATCCCTTTCTTTCTGTCAAAAAGAAACAGTACATTGAAATTCTCCGTGCAGAAGCTGCTTAAAAACAAAAGTGATGATTGTCTCTTATTTACAACTTAATTTGTTGTTGATGCAGAGTACACTGAGCATA